TTTTCCTGATTTTCCGCGGCGGGCGACCTTTCGCTATAATTATGCTACAGCGAATGAGTCGCTCTCATTCGAAAGAACAACGAATTTCCAATGCCGTGTGGAGCTCTATCAGCGCATTTCGAAAGGTTCTACTAGGGCTAAATGCTTAACCATAATTCTTGCAACATCCAAAGAACATCTAAAGAAGAAAGCAAGACTTTAAAAAGGTATTTCCTTGCCTGGTCACAGAAATTCCTTGAGATTGTGCTCTTCGGATTACAATGGAACTATAATATCGAATGATTCTTGAAAGAAATCCAAATGAAACAGTTATACCGAAACTGATGCTGCTATTAGCCATAAAATCCAGCAGTTCAAGCAGATTGTTACAGAGAACTGCTAGCAAATACTAATATGGATTAAATCGGAAGGATAGACGGACACAAAACGCATAAAGAAACTCAGATTTCGCAAGAATGTTTACCCAGACTATTTCAACACTACTGGCGTAGATTTTGTCGTGGTGTTGCATCAATTAAATTCACGGCTCCTTTTGAGATACGGTGCCTCGTTGTTCGCTTACTGAAGTTACCGTCTTGTCTGAGAAATCACGAAATTGTTTCATTATTGTTGCAGTGGCGGTGTTGTTTAACAACAACGGCACTACCATTGCACTCGCGCACTAGACGTGTGTCCCAAAAAGTTGCCACTATTAGGTAAGAAATTGTCATCGCCTGAGGTGTGGGGCGTCACCTCCGAGTTGCGCCATGGAGCTCCCGCGGTCTGAGTAGGCACGAAGCAGCACTCCTACGTTGAGCGGAAAGCTTCGTGGGAACTTTCGATTTGCATTCCATGATCTCAATATGCCCAAGGTCAATTTCTTCCTGGAGCAAAAATACGAAGCAAAAATATTCACGAGAAATGATATTTGAGGATCATCGTACTGAAACCTGGCTCGGCTCCACCACTTCCTCAACGATCTACTATGCAAAATGTGAGATCAATGTTGCCCGCGCATGTGTCACAAGGGAATGACGGTAGGTTTAAGTGGCTGCAGGCTCAACCGGTGAAGAGACCTCGACACTGATGCGTCATTCACCACCCCCCTCCCCACTCCTATTATTCGCTATCGCTGTATCATCGCTGCTCCTCTATCCGTCATCCACTCGTGCCGCTGCTCGACGTAGCCCAATCACCAATTGGCCAACAGGGCTCGAGGAAAAAGAAATCTCCTGAAGACACAGCTTCGTCCGCAATGATCATTCATTATCATGTTGTGCAATGTTGTAATGTGTTGTTTCCCCTACGTTGTTTCGCCACGATGACAACGACTCTATCCCTACGCCCTACCTCCTACTCTCCAAGGCGTTGGCGTAGCCCCAAACCCTAATATATATTTGTGTTAAGCGAGATAAATGGTTGGAATATTTTGCCTCGCCTGCAGTCTACATGACGCCTCCGAAGCGCCACTACAGCGCATGTATCATAAGGGGATAGTAGGCCTAAGTTACTATTTGAAATGAGATTTATACTTACTGACAAGGGAACCCCAACAGGTCGATCCGGCCATTTGCAGTGAGATGTATAAATATGGACGTGTCTTGAGCCGCTGAATCCAAATCTGCCCTCCGATTTTGCGGAACGATTCTCCAAAGGGAGTTACGGACCATTTAATCTTAGCTCCGTTGCACAAGTTGAGAAGGATAACTGCATGCGGCAAGCCGCCGATGGCCTAGTGGATAAGTGCATTGCTTCAGAGACACGAGGTCGAATGTTGGAATCCTTGGCTATCGAAATCTTTTGCTTTTCATTCAAAACACTTGGTATGAGCCCTCCGAAATTTCTATTTGGCCATTTCACCTAATTTCTTGATTATTTGCCAACGGAAGGCGGGCGATTCCCCATGTGTGGTTATTCTTGAAAACTTTTTTATTATGAGTATAACCGCATGTCACAGGGTTTTTGCAGTGAAATACCATCATATTCATGTTCAGCGAGTCAAACTACCCCTGGAGACAAGTTTCTAGCCGAATCTGATATTTCGACCGAACTTGGAAAATGTGTGCTGTTTCATGGGTAATCAGAAGCAGAGGGGAGCTCACCTACCATCAATGAATGGTCTCGAGATGGAACTCCCTCGTGGTAAAGAGGACGATGATGCAAACGGCAAGAATAAGTAAGCCGGGTAATGTCTTTGCGAAAAGGCACATGAAGAGGTATTTCAGTTGGAAAACCAGTCATCATCAGTATGGTAGTCGTAGTATCGCTTGGCTATCAGTCAGCCACAGCTATTCATAACCCATTTTCTCGAAGATGAGTTAGAACCTCGGATTTCGCTAGGGTGACGTCTCTAGGGGTTATTCGACCCCTGAACACGAATATGATACCTGTTTTGCGCGAAGAGCGCTGTGAGTTGCGCTACAGGTGCTAACGCTTTGGCGCTGGCGCGCCCGGAAGAAGAAAAGCAATAAAGAAAAACCTCCGTAACTCCGCTCAGAGAATCGTTCCGCAAAATCGGAGGGCAGATTTGGATTCAGCGGCTCAAGACACGTCCATATATGTATACATCTCATTGTAAATGGCCGGATCGACCTGTTGGGGTTCCCTTGTGAGAGGCCTTCGGAATGCTCGGAATGCTGGACCTAGGGTCCCTGTGCGCTCGAAAGTGGCCACTGTGAGCTCGAAAGGTCCCTTGAAAATGTCGTGACGTAATCGTGGCGAATTGATGGGGACATCGTAGACGATCCCACGGAGAATATATTTTACAGATCTCCTGACCGTCTTCGGTACAGTTCCCACGTCGACAGTCGCAACGTCTTTTCCTCCGTCATCGATAGTTGTAGCAGCGTGGCCGAGTTGTTACGTCGTAGGCTCGCGTATGCCTGGTCAATGGTTTAAATCCTTGACGCATGACCTCTTTTACTTTGTTTTGACAGTGGTCTCTGTGCATATTTGACTATTCGCTTTTTTGTCTTCTCAGAAAACATTTTTGCACATTCTTTTCGCTTGATAATGCCGTGACGTAATGCTTCTTAGGAAATGAAGCCATAATGGACGACTCCACGGTGGACATTTTTGTCTGTTGCTTCAACTTTTATTGTTCTGATGAGCTCGTTTTCCACAATAAGCTCACTTTACAACGCATGTATAAGTGAGATTCCTCTGTTTTTTTTTGCGCACAATTAAACAGTTGGGCAGACGATTAAACAAACACCTGGAAATATCGCAAAAACACTTTATTGCACAAACAAAAGAAGGGCTCCACGCTCTTATGTACTTCATGAAGACAATAAAACAACTAACCTTAAAAAAATAGAGAATACAGTGAAAAGTGGGGAGAAAATGGCCAAGTTATGCTGGAAACAGCTGATCGCCTTGGCCATCTAATCAAATACCCGGATGACGACTGTACAATCACATCGACGCTGGTGCCTTTATCACTTCATTTATGAAGATCTTGATATGAAGGGTACTGCATGGGTAAGTGAATACATACGTGGAACCGTATTTATCATATCGTGACTGGCACGATGCCAACGGGAAACCAGGGCACATCGTTGGTTGGGGAATCCCCAACAGGGGGGTCGTATTTGGCCGCCAGGAGAGGGGGGGTCGTAATGAGTGCGGTAGCCAGTAACGAGCGTCAGTGTGCTGAGTCCTGTACAGCGAAACTTGCTTTGTAGAGAACTCGGATATGTAAAAAAATAGTACAAAACTTTCATTCATCAAACTAATCCGAAATAACTGGAAATATTAATAAGTCGACATCATCTCGTAATGCTTTTATCGACAAACGACAGGACTACCATATCGCTCGTATCAGACGTTTTCCAGCAGTTGGTCTCCTTTATCGGAATCATTGGCGGAGCACGAATCTGGCGGCGTCGACAGGGACACGCTCCATCATACGCAACGGAAAACACTGTAAACAAGTGCACAGGTTCGCCATGGACCTCCCTGAAGACACATTTGCTCGCGTGGACAGACATTACGCACAAGTTGCACCATCCCATCACCTCTGCGCGGACCTCAGTGCGCGGCGCATCCAAAGTCAGCGTGATCGGCGCTAAACGAACCATATTCTGCTCCTGCTCCACCACAGGATACGTTTTTCATGTTCCTGGTTATTCGAACACGCTCACTTGAAACGGTACACAGGACGGGTTTTTCGCGCAGCTGGGAGTGTTCCCCAAGAAATCCCCATCGCGAGATCTCATGAATCCCGAGAACTTCAGAAACAGTTCAAGAGGTTTTTAGAAAGAGAAAATCTTCAAACACTCGAAACCGTTCTCAGATTTGTGAAATGTTGAGTTACAAAAAATATATTGATTCAAACCTGTTCAGTTGAAATCACTCCCCAACGAATCCTCATGGCAGATTTCTCTGTGATTTTTGCGACCTTCATAAACGTTTCAGTACTTTTAGGAAGTGCAAACCTTCCTCTACACGAATACGGTCTCCTCTTCCCCACAGGTCCGCTTTTGAGGAAGTTATGGTCCTTCAAAGACACCCTGAAAACTCGCATTCCACATGGCTGGTCCTGCCCAGAATCCCTCCCCCGGTACCTCGGCCTTTAATCAGCTGATTGCGGCTGGTTTGCTCTCGTTCGTATTTACTCTTTCGTGTTTATCTTCTTCTCGGTTTATTCGAATATCGAATATTTATCTTCTTCTAGTTTACTCGAATACACGTCAGAGCGCGCCCCAGCAATTTTGCTTGGACCGCTCAGAGTGCTCTTAGGAGGAATTGGCTTGATTTCCTGTTTTTTTTTCTTTAATTGCAATTGATTCAGGTACCAGAGTTTGTTTTGACTCGAGGAAAGGTGGGTGAAACCTAATGGCCTTTTTTTCTATATCTCTTTTTTCTGAATCAGGATAGAAATGAGCAAAAAGCGAGGGGGGCCTCGTTCAGGATTGTTACTTTTTCCATTTTTCGCGCTTACTTATACATAAACTTATGAAGTTTCTTCCTCCTCGGGGGGGGGAAGAAACTTCATAAGTTTATGTATAGGGGGGTCGTACGGGCTCCACCAAAATCCCCTACTAATGCTGTGCCCTCCGCGGAAACTCGCATACTTGTCCAGCGCCGTAACAAAGGCTTCCTTCGTAGATTTTTGGCCGTTTCACTTCACTTTTTTTCGTCATTTCCCACTATGTAGCACCCCGCTACATAGTGGGAAATGACGAAAATTCTGAGCAACCATATGCCAACAAAAACGAAAAACCCTGAAAAAAGACAAACTGTATTAGGTGGGGATTTAAGTACGAATGACTTCCGTTGGCTCAAGATTTGAGTGGGGGCATGGGCCACACCCTACTCCAAATAGGAAGTGACATTTATTTATTATTTACTGACATGCGTGGGGTATGCGAGAATGAGTTGTTAGCACCCTTTACTTCACTTATTACTAGTAGCGGATGTGTTCAGAGGAGCCTGTTTTCGGAATATCTGGTGCCCAAAACGGAAGGAGATGGAGATGTTTTCGTGAAGAAAGCAGTTCCTCGATGGCTTCACGACGAAGAAATGTCCGCCTTCCAAGCAAGCCGAAGTGTATACTAAAAAGACCAAGTAAGGGGCTCATCGACGCGTCGCACAATAAGCATTGTAACAGCACGTAGAACTCGTAACTATGAATAGAAAAAATACGCATGAAGGCCTCTTATTAGGAGGTGCCACGCGGCGGCGCAACTAACGATAGTTCAGTTTTTGCACGGGTCGCCTCTCTGTCTCCTGCATTCATCTAGAGCAAGGCTCCTCCTCCACAGCCGCTCAAAGTTCTAGTTCTAACGCCCGCCCAGTTGGACCGCCCACTTGCTAGCTGCCCTCTGACGGAGAGCCGCTCAGTTGTTCTTTGTTGGGACGGCGGGCATTAATCGGAACTGCATGTACTTTTTGCTGACCGCGCTCGTGCCCATAAATAATTCTGCTCTCCTTCATCACATTTTATTCACTGGGAGCACATACAGTCAAAAGCTCGACATGCACGAAAAGCTGCACACTGCACGTAACCCCAAATCCGGAAGCCAGGTTTTTGAATTTTTCGTTTTTTCAAGTGTTTTTCGTTCGTATCTTTGTTGTTTTTCATACAAAGGAAATGATAAGACCGGCAAAAAACTGCATAATGCAAAACTGGGCGATGAGTACTTGGGGAGGGGAGGGGGACCCTTCAAAGAATCTGGGAATCCGATATAAATCATTTCGCTCACCCCTCCTGTGTGCGTCACGGTCGAAGTAGATGTTGATACATGCAGAACAACACAATTAATTATGATTTTATTGAATCCAAGACGACAATTCAAGCTACCCCGTGAAGATACAATGAGAAGACCATTCTAGCACTGATCAAAAGAAAATTTGCAGCCGAAAGTCCAAGTATTCAGAAAAGAAAAAAATAACATAAAAACAATGAAGTGTAACAGGCAGAATAAACAGTTGATGGTGTAAATAACATACTTTTACAGAAGACCGAAAAATCACTGGTAGTAAAGTTCAAAGTTGAATCCTTCATGGATCTCGTAGTCTTGAAGAGTGATGTGGTCCTTGTAGATAGTGTACCACTTCTTCAGCACAATTTTTTCATGCCTGAACGGTTAATACCAATCATAACTGAAGGGAATACATTAAAATAGCTTTGCAGAGCATACCTAGTTCCCGTCTGTGCAGCAATCAACTTCTTCAAATCACCTATGGTGTCGGTCGGATTGCATTTGATTCGAACTTTCTTTCCCAGTCGATCATTCACGGTAATTTCGATCATCGCAAGCTGCAAATAATATGTAACTATAGGAAAAGACCCACTTGTGAATATATGAGATACGCACTGAGCAAACAAATACGATTTCCGCATTCTATAAAATGTCCAAGATTCTCACGCATCTGTTTCACTAGCACGAAAATAGCGTGTGAAATATGATTTAATCGCTGATCGATCGGCTCTCAGTTAGGCATTGTTCACAGTCTGCGACCCTGACGAAACGGCGGTTGGGAGAAAAGCAAAAAATAGTCATCGATCGGTTGGGCGAAAAGCAATAGATGTGTATCGATTTCGCTGGCGAAAAACGCCACGGCGATCGAGCTAGCGTTTCGTCGAAGGCGAAAAACGTCGCGGTTTGGCGAAACGCCCGTCGATTCGTATCAAAAGCTTTTCGCCGAACCGCTGCGTTTCAGAGAAACGCTGGGCCGCAGACTGTGAACAATGCCTTGCGATGACGGCAAAGGTCAAAAAATGAAAACAACTTGTCACCAGACAGTCAGAACTCTATCAAGATAGCAAAAAGCAAAAACTCAATGAACTGCAATAATATTGTACTAACCAAACTACACTATCAATGCAATGCTACCTGAGTTTCCATCTGTGAAAACTTTCGTGTTGCTCTTGGGAGCAGCTGTGCTCTAAGAGCGCGTTCAGACTTCGCGATCGCGCGATCGGATCGCGCGATCCGATCGCGCTACTGAGGGTGAAATTACTGCGGGAGGGGGTTATGTGCGTATATGTTTATTGATCATGTTCTCTTTCTTTTCCTTCCTTCTTCATTTGTGTTCATGACGCCTTCCTAATTTTAAAGGAATGTTCCCAAATATCACGACATGCTTAAGCATGCGAACTTGGAAACAAAATCTGAGAGGGAGTACAAAAAACACAACTCAAAGATATTTGGGAGCATTCCTTAAAATCAGGAAGGCGTTATGAACACAAAGGAACAAAGAAGGAAAAGAGAGAGAGCAGGATCAATAAACATATACGCACTAACCCCCTCCCGCAGTATGTAGCACTCCGAGCGCGATCCAAGCGATCCGATTGCGCGATCGCGAAGTCTGAACGCGCTCTAACAAGGGAGGTCGTCAGGGCGTGCCCCGCTTTTTCGAAACGGTTTAGTGCACTTTGTAATGCCTTGTCCATGAATCGTAAAAGTGGGTTTCGTTTTTGCTGTGCGGCCCCTGAAATGCCAAAAAAAGGAGCGAAAAGAAACCTATAGAAAACTGATTGTTTTTGAGCCTCTACGAGCTGTAAACCGCTTGAAACTTTGACCAGTTGCTGAATGGAGGGACCCTATAAAGGTGCTATCGGAATCGAGAAAAGTAGTTGGATATGGGGTCTTACTTGTGGCAGAAGCGTGAACGACTTCATGGAATGGTTTCTTCAACTATCGGAGGAACGTTCAGCACGAACGATCGGATGGCCTAGTTGATCTACGTGTTTCAAGATTTGGGTGGGTTCAACTCGCACTGTCTAGTTCTTGCATTTTTTTATTGTTTTGCGTTTTGCGCGTTTCAAATATGTCCTGTGCGTAAGTATGCATTCGATAACTGATATTTATGGGCACATTTTAAATGGGAACACTCCATGAATCAGTGCTATTCAATTATTACAGGTTTTAAATACCATTAAGCAAGACCGTAATTGAAAGTTGACCTTTATAGGTCAGACCATGCGAATCACATATGGAACTTATTTGTAGCTACGGTGCCATTTATCGCTAATATGGAGTGACATGTTTCTCCCAATGAATGCGTTTGCTACACACAAGTAAGGGATGTGTAGCGCTACCCAGGCGCCAAATTACGTCGGCGCCGAAAATAAGTGTGAAAATCATGATCGGGGCCATCGATTACCCCTGTAAACAATCTTTCGGCCAAAAAATTTTTTTCGACTTTTTGTGTGCGTTGGGTTGTGCCCGACAGTCTTTCCATAGAAGTCTACAGTGCCTCGCCAAGGGACCCCCTATTTTATTAATATCCAAAGATAAAAGTAACAATGCCGATGAAATTCATGCAAAGAGGAAGGAAAGGGAGGCATTCCACCAGGTTTGCTGTCCTGCCCGGCGGCCTGCTACGTCGTCGTTTCGTCATCGTCTTTACGAAGATGGGATACTCCGGTCACTACTGCCGACCAAATGGTCCACCAAAACCCAAGAAATCGAAAAATTTTTTTGGCTGGAAGTCCGTCCATAAGGGTAATCGATGGTCCTGATTACGATTTTGACACTTATTTTCGAGGTCGACGCAATTTGGCGCCAGTATAGCGCTTAACGTCCCTCGTATGGGGGTACATAGACGTAACTTTCACTCCTTTTTTGGCATTCCAGGAGCCGCACAGCAAAACGAAGCCCACTTTTACGGTTCATGGGCAAGGTCCCTACAAAGTGCAATAAACCGTTTTGAAAAAGCGGGGCACGTGCTTACGCCCTGAACAGCTTCCTGGTACGTAAGAAAAAAAATAGTCAAACCTTGTTTATCATATTCAAATCAGTTACCCAAGCGAGATGGTCGCATGTTGAGCCAAAGCAGAGGTGCACGGAAAAAAAATTTACTTTCTCATCGGTGGACTTTCAAGCGAGAACCCTGGCACGCTTGTAAGAAGCACCTCCTCAGCAATGCGAATACCACATGTGGCTAGGAGAGCACGTTGAAAGATATGGATCTCGATCAGGGATTGCAACCGTACCAGCATAGTCATCGAACTAGGGGCCTCTATTACCACCTACTAATTATCACTCTTTGGTCCCTACTGCATGCTACAGGAAGAAAAAACTTTCATTAACACCTGCCCGAAAATGAGGTCTAGCTTTTCATTTCATCGCAGTAGCCGCAGTTACAAAAGAGTGGAAAAGAAAAACAGTGTGAAAACTGCGCACTAATCCTGGTTACTGAAGGTGGTTGAGTGGAAAAGAAAAACAGTGTGAAAACTGCGCACGTAATCCTGGTTACTGAAGGTGGTTTGAGTGGAAAAGAAAAACAGTGTGAAAACTGCGCACTAATCCTGGTTACTGAAGGTGGTTGAGTGGAAAAGAAAAACAGTGTGAAAACTGCGCACTAATCCTGGTTACTGAAGGTGGTTGATGGAAAAGAAAAACAGTGTGAAAACTGCGCACTAATCCTGGTTACTGAAGGTGGTTGAGTGGAAAAGAAAAACAGTGTGAAAACTGCGCACTAATCCTGGTTACTGAAGGTGTGGTTGAGTGGAAAAGAAAAACAGTGTGAAAACTGCGCACTAATCCTGGTTACTGAAGGTGGTTGAGTGGAAAAGAAAAACAGTGTGAAAACTGCGCACTAATCCTGGTTACTGAAGGTGGTTGATGGAAAAGAAAAACAGTGTGAAAACTGCGCACTCGAATCCCTGAGTTACTAGAAGGTGGTTATCTTCTTGATTGGATGTGTCGCTTAGTGAGAAAAATCAGATCCGAATTTTGGCCAAAATTTCGCAGGACTCTTTCCCAACCTAACCGTTTCCCCGAAAGCAATTCTCAGCATTTCAGAGACTTTAATATTACTATGTGAGCATTCGTTATGATTATTGTGAAGCGGCGAATTCGCGTTCAATCACTGTCTTAGCCAGTGAAGACTCCGCGGTGTCATCACTGTTTCTGTAGTTCATTGGGAGGTGACTTTGAACGAATACACAGTGGTGCTCACAAGCAAAATCACAATCAGATGACCTCTACAACAACTGAAGTAAAACCTACTGCTAAATCGAGTGCCCGTATTCATTTCTGCTATTAATGATCAGCACGTCTAATGATAGAATCCGTTGACGTTAGACCTATTCAGGAGGTAGAGAATACTGCAAGTAGTAAACCAGTTTATGGACGACCGAAGATTATATTAAAGTGGTAAAGCAAGACGAGAGCGTCAAAGGACTTACAGAAGCGAAAGAGAGCACTGCTATTTTGCATTAACCTTTCATCCTTCGAAAAAAAGAAGCAAATTCACATAGAAAAAACAGCTTTTCTTACTGTGCGCAAATTCCTTGACCTCATAATAGATGCTGTTGTTCTGTAGCCAACACCACTCCAAAAGCTTGGTCGAAGCTGACAACATACAGGGGGGGGGCAAAAAAAGTCACTTTCCTTCATTGACTTTCGAGGCGCTATAAGTTACACTTTATTAAATTCTGATCGGACATTTTTACCACCATATTAAAGAGCATATTAAATACTATCATGACACTCCGCCACAGCCTTCTGGAGCCATCGAGAGATTCTGGCACGCGACCGCGATGTGGTGCCTGAGATCAGCGAGATAGTCGATTTCTCCGCCACCGTAGACCACCCTATTGAACTCCGCCCGAACCGGGTAATTGAGGGGATTCAGGTCAGGTGACCTACTTGGATTTAGGTAATCAGCCCCCTTCCATTCCAAGAAGGGGAGAGTTTCTCCAATGCCCTTCGATTCCATGTGGTGGCACTCAATGCTCTAGCAGTACAAAGTTTCCAAGAAGGTACGGTGACGACATGTGAGGAGGATATTCTTCACGAGTTGCTCGATGTAACCGCCAGCGCTCACCTTCAGTCCGGGGTCCAAGAAAATATTGGTCTTTCCATTCCAGGTACGTCCGGTCCATACCATCAACCCGCGCCTTGGCGACTGTGGTGAAGATGATGTCCCAGATCGAGAGTACTGGTCTCCAGGTAGCTATCCATGGGTGACTCCATACTAGAAGTTTCGCAGCTGTTTGGAGGTGACATGAATTCCAAAGGTCTTCTCCAGTCAGGCTGCGACTGGAGATGACTTCATATTTTGGTGTACATGAAGGTGATGGCGAGGGCCAGCTCCTGCTTATAGAGGAACATCTTGGGTATCTTCCGCCCTGGTACTCGTATCCACGTCCTCTGTCTGGGCAGCGAAAACTTTGCTATGTGACTCGGTCGAAGTGACTTTTTTTGCCCCCCCCCCTGTAGATTGGAGAAAAAAGAGGATCGGGAAAGCAATGAGTTTATGGCTCTGAGATTCACTGAAAGCAGATAGTGAGTAGAAACT